ATACTAGTGAGGAAGACAGATAATAGATGAACAAATAAGTAACAGTCAGCTAGAGAGAACCACTGGGGACAAAATTAAAGCAGGGCTAAGAGATACGGGTGGTGAGGGAGGCCTCTTTGATAAATTCCCACATTAAAGTAGGGATCTGGGTGAAGTAAAGGAGCATCTATGTGGATATGTTAAGGAAGAGCACACAGGCTGAGGACGTAGCATGTGCAAAGGCCCTAAGGCAGGCACAGCCTGGCCTGTGGGAGGAACGGTGGCTGGTGGGTGTGAGCAAGGCGAGTGGTGGGAACAGAGCCAGGGGAAGGACTCTGGATTTTATTTTAACTGTGGCGGGGAGCCACCGGAAGATGCTGGGAAGGGAATAATACAATTTGATAAACACTTTCAAGAAATCATTCTGTTTGCTGTGAAAAGAATAAACTGTAAGGAGGAGTGGCCACAAGGAAGCCAGCTAAGAGGCAATTGCAGCAGTTTGTTGTTTTCCACGAGAGCCATTCTGTCTTCCTGGCAATGCAGCCGGCCAAGGAGGAGCATAAAGCTTCGTTAGCTCAGGCCCAGTTACAGACCCTGGGACTTGGCGTGGGAGGAATTAATAGTTTTTGACACCCATGGCATCCAGCTTCTCAGAAATGGATGGCGACGTGAAAAAACACATATAAACAACAATACGTAAGAAAGATACATATTCTTAAACTACACAAGGAAGATACCAAAGTTCAAGACAATGCTATCATACCTCCCACAATAATGGAAACTTTATTTTCTCTTTTACAGAGGGTTGTATTCCTAGGCTTTGCTGTACCACGCTTCATCTCTGCTTTAAATATTTCAGTTCTAAAGTGGGACCAGTTTGGGAGAAAAGGTGAGACAGGCTAATATTCAAGGAGCTGGCAGGGCAACAAGACAGAAGGAACCTGGGCCTAGACAACGTGGATCTCCTGCCTGCCTCTGCCGGCTCCGCAGAGAGAACTCGAATACAGCCCTTGTCCTTTTGGGCTCCTCTGTTCCAGCAGCTTAGACTAAAGGCAACACCCCATAATATCCCCCCAGCCGGGGAGGCAGCTGTTGCTTACGGAGGGCACCAGGTCTCCACGTTCCATGGTGTCTCTGATCAATTTGCTTCTTTCAGAGTCTGATGACAGCTCGTGACGCAGGAGCTCACCAGTCGAGAGGTGTGTGAATCCGTATTTTTCCACCAGCTTTGCACACTGCGTGCCTTTGCCAGAGCCCGGGCCACCTGGAAAGAAGTCACGCATCAGACATGCATCCCACGTCTGGTGCCTCAGATTTTTTTTAAAAAGATTT